ATCCAAGAGAATAAATCTGCTCTTCTAGTGGAAGTTAAGCTTCTGAAGTCAGGATGACCTTTGAGCAAGAGAAGAATAGAGGATTATAAGAATGAGTGAAATTCTGAAGGAAGAAAAAAGGCAAGCTTGACAAATAAACCTAAAGGAATGAATGAAGACAACAAGGAAAGATGATATTTTAAAGGGAAGGGACATGGGGAACAATCCTACTCTGGCAGGGTGGTGGTGATGGTGGTGGGGACTATGTGACCTGACAGATCTTTCCCATCTCTAATGTCTTGGCATTCTCTGATACTGAAGTTGGGTTTACTGGCCTCTAATTGAAAGATTGCCTATGGATTGCCTTTTTAAAAAATCAGTGTTACATTAGCTATCCTCCTGTCATCTGGTACAGAAGCTGATTTAAGTGATAGGTTACATACCACAATTATTAGTTCTTCAATTTCATATTTGAGTTCCTTCAGAACTCTTGTGTGAATGCCATCTGGTCTGGATGACTTATTACTGTTTAATTTACCAATTTGTTTCTAAACCTTCTCCATCTGGGAGAGTTCCTCAAATTTGTCATCTAAAAAGAATGGCTCAGGTGTGGGAATCTCCCTTACATCCTTTACAGTGAAGATGGATGCAGAGAATTCATTTAGTTTCTCTGCAATGGCCTTGTCTTACTTGAGTGCTCCTTTACCGTCTCGATCGTCCACTGGCTCCACTGATTGTTTAGCAGGCTTCCTGCTTCTGAAGTACTGTACTTTTTTTTTTTTTTTAAAAAATGCTGTTACTATTTGAGTCTTTGGCTAGCTGCTCTTCAAATTCTTTTTTGGCCTGCCTAATTATACTTCTACAATTCCTCTTAAGCCTGACAATGTCTCTTTAATTTTTTGACAGAATCCTCGATGTATACGATAACTGACTAAATGTAATGCTAGGTAACCAAAAGCCAGGTTCCCTGCCATGAAAGCCTGATCATAATCATACAAACTACTGGAGAAAATTATTTTTCATGAGTTTATAGAAAACATTTATTTATTCTACCTCCTAGATGTTCCATACAAATTGTATGTAATAGTGTCCAGGGGAGAGAAAAATCAAAATTTGAATAATTTGTAGAACTGGTATCCTATTTGTATGTGTGGCAGCTCTATTGTGATATTATCAACTTTTGCTGTCTGCTCGGTAAGTAATCAGTTTTGCTGCTGAGCTGTTAAAAATCCCGTAGAGAAAATTACAAATTGATAATTCAGTCTTGATTTGCAGTTCTTTAGGGCGATACGCTCAGCCTCACTTTAACACTCTCTAATAAAAACTACTGCTCCCAAATACATAATAAGTGATAGCTCTTCAACGTGAATGATTATTTCACTGCTGTTCCAATGATCAAGGGTCAGGGATACTGTGGCTCGTCTATTAACTTTTAAAATTGTCCTACTAAAACTATGGCCTCAGTCCTGCATACATACATGTAGTCAACTTTAAGCCCTCAGGTAATGCCTTTGAAGTCACTAAGGTACATATGTGATGTGATTGTTAATTTGAGGGAATTCTGTATGTAGTGTTTGTTAATTTGAGGGAATTCTGTATGTAGTCAGGGAACAGTGTAAAGAGGGAAGGATGGTCTCCTAGCTATAGTATAGTGAGACTCAGAAGACCCTGGTAAAGATTTCAAAGTGCTTTTGGGCAGTGGTTCTCAACCAGCAGTATGCGTACCCCTGCAGGTACTCAGAGGTCTTCCAAGGGGTACATCAACTCATCTAGATAATTGTCTAGTTTCACAATAGGCGACATAAAAAGCACTAGCGAAGTCAATACAAACTAAAATTTCATACAGACAACGACTTGTTTATACTGCTCTATATCCTATACGCTGAACTGTAAGTACAATATTTATATTCCAACTGATTTTATAATTATATGGTAAAAATGAGAAAGTAAGCAATTTTTTGGAAATAGTGTGCTGTGACACTCGTGTATTTTTATATATGATTTTGTAAGCAAGTAGTTTTTAAGTGAGGTGAAACTTGGGGTTCCCAAGACACATCAGACTCCTGAAAGGGGGACAGTAGTCTGGAAAGGTTGAAAGCCACTGACTTAGGGTATGTCTAGACAGCAAGCAGGATTCTGCGGCAGCAAGCCTCAGAGCTCAGGTCTATGCTCAGGCTCACTCTACAGCACTAAAAATAGTTGTGTGGATGTTGGGCTCGGGCTGGAACTTGGATGCTGCACGTTGGGGAAAGGAGTGCCTTCAGAGCTGGAGAGCCAGCTCAAGCCTAAATATCTACACTGCCATTTTTAATGCCGTAGCACAGCCTGTAGACCCAAACTCTGAGACTCGCTGCCGTGGGATCCTCCTTGCTGTGTAGATGTATCTTAAGTGACTTAGGAACCTAAATCCCACTGACTTTTCAATGAGACTTATGCTCTTAAGTGCCTAAGTCACTTTTGAAAGTGGGATATTTTAGGCTTCTGAATAATTCAGGTGCTTTTGAAAATTTTACTCCTAATTTATTTTTCTGGCTGCACCACAGTCTTTCTGTAGATCAGGCAAGTTAGTTAGGCCTAAATTTTCAAAAGTGTCTTCTGCTTTTGGTGTCTCGATTATTTTGGTGCCCAGCTTAAAATACTTAGGACCTGATTTTCAGAGACGCCGAGCAACCACAGCTCACAATGTAGTGATCTGTGGCCAGAGTGTCAACTGTTAGTGTGTCCTGTCTTTTGTCGCAACTGTATTGCTTTTAACCCTTTGGCTACTGGCATATGCTCTGCCTTGGTAGCACTAAAACATTGTCATTTAGGTATTATTTATTTCGATGGGCATTATGTGTGTAGTGCTCATATCTGTGGAGCATATCTTAAAGGAGCATTTCTGAGTTCCATAGTGGCCCACAGGTGGCAGCCGTTGCTGGCAGCAAGACAGTTAAATGAGAAGGTATCAACTGTCTGGTGCAGAACTGGAATTCCATTTTGCCCCATGTACCTGTGTGCTAGACAGCAGTGACACAATTAAATGATGTTTGTTGCATGAGATGTTTCTAGGGTCTTTGAATGCACATTTATGGTAGAACAATTTCTCTTTGTTCAGGTGAGAAACTGTAATGCTTTGAAAGTGGGTGTCATCTCTATTATAATCACTGCAATCTAAGGATGAAAAAGTCTGCACTCAGAGCATACACAGCTCCTGACAACTTCAGTGAGGGTCCTGTATGCAGAGATGGCAGAATTTGACCCAGAAGTGTGTAAGGTGTTGTACAGAACAAATAGAAAAAAGGTCTGTTTCCCAAAGAGTTTGCAATCTAAAGGCCTGATTCTGCAAATACTTGCTACCAAGCACAGTGCTTGCTAATCTGAGCTGTGCTATTGATTTCAAAAGTACTGTTCATGGCAGTAAGCACAATGCCTGGTGGTAAGTGCTTGCCGGATTGGGCCAAACAGTCGGAGAAGAAATGAGGTATGATAGGGTTTAATCAGCAGGTTTATTTTGTTCCCACTTTGGCACCTTGCAGTGTGGTAAAAACTGTGTACTTATATGGTCCTCATTACTATTGTATCTGAGCACCTAACGCTGCAACTGCAATTGTAGAAAGGACTGTGTTAAGTAACTGTTGGAAAAAAGATATTAAGAAAAACCGATCCTGAAAAGCCCATTCACTACATTATGGGGTTGCTGAAGGGCAGCGGATAACTATAGTATTGTCCAGTGAAAACGTATTTGTAAGGTGTTCATATTGGTATCTATCTGGGGTCCAGTGCAAGACAAGAAAATTCAGCCATCCTTTGGGCTCCAGGATGACTGGAAGGTACCATTTTTTTCTTGTAATAGATCATGTGATGGATCATACAGCAACCATTAAAAGAGTAGCTGATTTCTTTTCTTTTCTTCCATGTCTTGATTCAGTAGTCGAGATGGGCTTCTTTTAATTTGTACATTCAGCTGAGAGACAACAAAAATGGAAAGAGTACACTGCTAATCCCTAGAAGATTATCATCTTGCTAATGTTCCTGCCAGTCATAGGCGCCAACTTTCTAATGTGCCTGGAGGTGCTCCCTCATGGCCCTGCCCAAGGCCCCACCCCACCCCCACTCTGCCTCTTCCTGCTCAGTTCCGCCCCCTTCCCTGAGCATTGCCCTCTCCCTTCCCCCCCCAGCACCTCCTGCGCACCACAGAACAGCTGATCCGCAGCGTGCAAGAGGAACTGTGATGGAGGGGAAGGTGCTGATCGGCGGGGCCACTGGTGGGCAGGAGACACTGCGGGGAGGGGGAGGCACTGATAGGGGGCTGCCGGTGGGTGCTCAGCACCCACTGGTTTTTTTCCGTGGATGCTCTAGCCCTGGAACACCCATGGAGTCAGCGCCTATGCGGCCAGTACTAGCAAAGCTCCTAAGAGTCTGATCCAAAGCCCATTGAAATCAATAGAAATAGACTAAGAAAAGATATGGCTTAGCACTGTTTGTTTGTAAAAAATGCTTTAATATAAGAATTGTTATACCAGGTCAGACCAGTCATCTGTCTAATCCAGTGACATATCTCTGACAAGGGCCAGAACCAGCCTGCTTCAGAGAAATCTCATAATGTGCAAATATGGAAAAACCTGCCCACAAGTGAAGTTTCTCCCTGACCTCACCAATTAATAGTTGGCTTATCCCCTGAATCATGAGGGGTTTATCCCTATGTTTTTAGCCTGAGGAAATCCTTATCACATTTTGCAGATTTTAGACATAGTTTTACAGAACTGGTAATTACTGCTCAGAAGAGGTTGATGCTTAATCTTTCTCATATAACATAGGGACCAAATAACTTTTATATCTCATGCAAGACAACATGGGAAACCAGCATTTGAGGCTATCTGCAGTATCCTAACCTGACCATCAGATGGAGACAAATGGCTTCAGTTTTCAGTTCATCTGCCCATTAGCCTTCATGAGCGGACATGATGCGTCCCAAGTGTAACATATTATAAAACTTCTTCCTGGTAACATTTCTAATGTAAAATCATTTTCTATTTTAGCTGAAACAAAGATCTGCTTCAAATATTACCATGGAGTGAGTGGAGCACTACGTGCTACGACCCCCAGTGTCACAGTGAAAAACAGTTCTGCTCCCGTAAGTTACTCCAGCCTTTCCTGCTTCTCTATTATCCTTTCCAGCTACTGTTGTGCAATTTATTGCTTTCCTTGCCTGTCCTTTGTGTTTTTGTGTTAATTTTGATTATGACTTTCTGCTCTTAAATTCTCTGGAATATACTAAAGGGATATCAATCAATAGAGGGATAGTCCCCGAGGAACTGGAATGTCAGCTATGTAACACTCTGTTTGTAAGAGTTAGTAACAGTCAGAGAATGCAGTACTTCCCTCCTGACTGACTTTATGCTACAGATTTAAAGAAACAGCACACATCCTTACACATCATGAAGTTTCTTCTTTCAAATGTAATTATAGATTTTTTTTAAAAAAAAACATGTTCTGTCTTTTTTTAAATACCAGAGGCTACCCCCTGTGTTCTAGATGAGGGATGTCAACCTTTTCCCATCCCGGTCACAAAAACATCTACTTCAGTTTTCTACCATCACCCTATGCCCCAGAATCATTTGTGTTCATATCCCACGATCCTTTGCAGGCTTCGAGTGAAAAAGACCAACAAGTTGTAACACATCATCAGGTCTTACATTCTTATCTGTTTGTTGTAGGGTATGTGACACAATAACGCATAATATGTTCAAAACATAATAATGGAATAGAATAGCTTAATACTAAGTAGGAGAAAACAAGTTGGATATTGTTAACCTCAACAGACTTACCATATTGATGCACCCAAATAAAGAGAGAAAAGCATGAGAAAAATGTAATGTGTAGATTCCCCATTACCTATGAACCTCATATCTCCAGTCACTGCTGAAACCACCACTGTCAGCTCAAACTTTAACCCCATCCCCTGTGTCTTCGATGCCTTTGAATTGGCTGTAGCTGCAGCTGAAGCTGGAAACTCAAAGAAACCAGCTGTTTGAACTGAAAACACACATAGACCTTTCTAGTGCAAGTTAACAGACCAGAAAGCTCATTCAGTCTGGAAAGGGTTGGGTTTTTTTGTTTTGTTTGTTTTTTAATTTTAAACTAATAGGTTTCTCAGAGTTGTGAAAGAAATTACAATGAGGAGTATTAGGGGAGTAGCTCCTACTGTCCGTGCCATGCTGGAGTCACAATTTGAGCAAGAGGGCCCTGCGTGGCCAAGTGAGGATTGTGACTGACTAGTCTCCTATGTAGTCTGATTGAAGCTCACCAGACTACTTATACAAGCAAAGACCGATGGGCAGGGCCCTTCAGCTTGACCAATGAATTAAATTCAGCAGACCAGATTCACCGGTCTGATCCAGTTGCTTTGCGCTGTTCCAATGTCACAAAGCAGCCAATAAACCAGGCCACAATACAAGTGAAGGCCCCAATTCTCCTACTGTAGCATGAATGCAGACTTTCTGCCCCCATGGGATAGCTAATAGGATCACAGTCTAAGACTTGTACTCATGTTCTGTTTTGCTTGTGATTTCTGTTCCTGAAGTCCCTGCTCAAGAAATATTCCCTTTGAAGTCATTAAGAGTCTTACCAGCAGTGTAAGGGCTAGACCCCTAGTCTAGTGTGAGAAACAATCCTTCAGCGGAGAAGATTGTCTACCTTTATAGGTAAAATAGATACTAGAGATAGAGTTCTGTGAAATTCTGCCTTCTTTGAAGTCAATGGGAGTTTTGCCATTGATTTCAATGGAGTCACAATTTCACCCTTAGTCTCTGGAGCTCAGCAGGATCCTAGTGTGTCATTGGAGGCTGCTTATTTTAGATTAATAGACTTTTTAAATTTGGCACAGCTTGAAAAGAAGATCACACAAGAGTATATGACCATCTAAAAGCATTTGGATACAAGTTTCCTTCTGGATACAGTATTTACAACTAGCATACTCGCATGCTGACTATCCCAAGTAGATTGTCTTAGAGCCATCCCTGTGGCATTCAGTACAAATGCTGCTGACAGAGTATTTAACCAAAAGTTTTAAAAAAATGTCTGATCCCCAAAAAGGAAGCTACTGCTATGCTAGTTGAACGTCATTACTTCACATGTCCATTGACTGTACTTTAGACTTGGTGACTTTTCATATTTTTATACTGTGTATGTTTTGTTACCTTTGAACTTATCACCTCACACTCCAACCCAGTTATTGTATTTTTCCTCTGCTGATTCAAATGCCCTGCAGTTCATTTGCCAATTAAAAGTCCTCCCAGGGTGTATCTCCTGTGAATCACCATGATGAATCGGAATATCTAGAATCTGAAAGCTATATCTTTCGCCCAATTCACACACAGTGCAAGCTCTACGCATGGATTTAGGGCAGCATGAAGACCCCAGTTAGCTGTTTCAGCTTTGATCTGTATAGCTAAACATTTATGCCATGCTCATTATAATAGTATGTGTGATTTACACTCAGTACAATAGAACAACTTGGTGATATCTGTAATATTCAGTTTGTTGCTGCTGCTGTTTTTTAGTGATAATGCTGTGGCTGTACATTTGTCTTTACATCAGGTACCATACTGGAAAAATGGACATTTGTTCTGTCAGTTAATTTTTGCTCTGCTCAGTGATTTAAATAATCATTTTATTTAAAAAAAAAAAGCCACTTAAGAGCAGTTATTGCTAGCGGCAAAGGCTGAGAATGTGACAATGATTTAACCTAACTATGGGGCTAGCTCCTTTTGCATTAAAATAAACAGGCACCACAATGAACAGCATACTACACAAAAAGGGAAATCCTTTGCCCTAAGAGTTCACAGTCTGAAGACACAGATCGGATACATCACAATTAAAGAAAAAGTGGTGTATGGATGTATAACCTCAGGATGAATCCCCTCCCCCCCCTCTTAAACTGGTAGAATTCATTAGGTACATACTAGATATATAGAAACGCTGTTGACCTAACCTCTAGCGCTTTAGTGCCACAGTTATGCATAGACACCTCATGGCATTAGTCAAACACACTTAGCACCGGGGCAGAGCCATATAAACTGGAGCTAACTGTTGGGAGAGACCTTCTGAATGTTGTGCTGGTACAGAATTGCTGCCTCAGCTCTCTTTCCCACGGCGGGGATTACCCTTTGATAAGTTAACTGCCATTTGATGGTGACTGATCATTACTGAGGATTTCTTGCTGTAAATATTTGCATTATTTGCTGTCATGCTGAGTGTGGGCTGTTGATGAACACTAGATAATGAACCGTCCTGTTTCATTTCTTTGTGTGCTTTGGAAGACTAAGCTCTAAACCAAGTCTTTATGATAAAGTGAGTTTGCGTATATGAAGGGACAAGTTTCTCATTCTTTCCCTTGTTTCATACGCCATTTAAACACTCTGGTTTGCTTTTCATTCTTCTTACTTCATGTCTTATTGTATAAGATGTGGGTTCCCTGAATAATAAAAATAATTAATAATACTTACCTCTTCTACAGTACTTTTTAAAGTACTTTACAAAGGACAATCAGTATCATTTTACAGATGGGGAAATTGAGGCAAAGAGAAAGGGAAGTGACTTTGGAACACAGGTTTAAAATTCAAAATGACCATGCCAAATTGGAAAGTTGGACTGAATTGAACAAGATGAAACTCAATAAAGACAAGTGTGAAGTACTTCATTTAGGAAGAAAAAATCAGATGCACAACTACAAAGTGGGGAATAACTGGCTAGGTGGTAGTACTGCTGAAAAGGATCTGGGGGTTATAACGGATCACAAATGGAATCTGAGTCGTCAATATGAAGAAGCTACAAAAAAGGCTAATATGATTCTGTGGTGTATTAATAGGAGTGTTGTATGAAGACACATGAGGTAATTGTCCTGCTCTACTCAGCACTGGTGCAGCCCCAGCTGGAGTACTATGTCCAATTCTGGGCACCAAAATTTAGGAAGGATGTGGGCAAATTGGAAAGAGTCCAGAAGAGAGCAACAAAAATGAGAAAAAGTTTAGAAGAGTTGACTTTTGAAGAAAGGTTGAAAAAACAGGGCATGTTTAGTCTTGAGAAAAGATGACTCGGGGGCTACCTGATAAGAGTCTTCCAATATGTTAAGGGATGTGATAAAGAGGATGGTGGTCAATTGTTCTTGTCCACTGAAGGTAGGACAAGTAATGGCCTTAATCTGCAGCAAGGGAGATTGAGGTTAGATATTAGGAAAATCTTTTTAACTCTAAGGGTAGTTAATCTCTGGAACAAGCTTCGAAGGGAGGCTGTGGCATCCCCATCACTGGAAGCTTTTAAAAACAAGTTAGACAAACACCGGTCAGAGATGGTCTATGTTTACTAGGTCCCGTCTCAGTGCACGGGATTGGACTAGATGGCCTTTTGAGGTCCCTTCCAGCCTTACATTTCTATGACTTGTCCAAGGTCAGCAGCAGGCCAGAACTAGAACCCAAGTCTTCTGAGTTCCAGCCCAGAATGCTAGACCATGCTGCCTCCCTACTTTTTCATATTAACCATAGCAGTAGTAAATCACCAGTACATATTTCACAGGACAGCTATAATAATAATAATTAATTGATAATACAGATCTTTCAGAGCAATAGGTGTGGAAGCATGGGATATGGAGGCAAGAAAAGGAGATTAACTTTCTTATTGTTCTGACACAGCTCAACAATTAAGGTTATGTAAAAAGGCTTGTGTAAAATACATTATCAAGGCATTACAATTAAGCACACACAAGAATGCAAGTCAAGCATATTTTTTAACATATTTTATAAATACAAGGCCAAATTATGCCTCTTATAAGGTTCAGCCATCCTGGGAAAGAGAAGCTATGGCTGAGGCATTGTGCCTACTTAAGCCACAAGGGATATGAGAGAACTTGACAAGAGGAGCCCTTTTCTATATATTTAAAAAGTATAGCCAGAGTTCTTCCTGCTGCTGCCAGTTTGACTTGCAAGGCAAGTGGGATCAGAGTACCCCTTACATCCAGCCTGTTCCCTTTGCAGGTGCACTAATAGGCAGAAAGGGCAAAGAGGCTGGTGTAATTTACTCAGGTATTAGAAAAGAAAAGGGAAATTAAAGGAAAAAAATAATTAGAGCTAAAAATGC